TATTTTACCGATCTAGGTATCCCCCCTTTTCCAAATTTTAATATCGACTCAAAATAATTTAAAAAGACAAATTACAATAAAACGGTTTATTATCCAACTATCAGAAATTTCACAACATGCCAAGGAAGAGAGAAAGGAGCAATTAAATAATAAAAATTATAAAGGATTAAAATATATACATACATATATATATATAAATGGGGAATATCGCGCTTCTGATAATCGCTGCGAGTGTGTGGGCTAAATTTGGAGAATCCAAATTTATGCCACACGAATGGACACTGTATGTGGCCGGCTCACGCGTCGGAAAAATCTTCTGATTTGTTCGTGTACGCACCAGACGGAAAAACAAAAAATATCGTGTATCCACTCCAATAAATAAATAGAATTGAAACGACACTTTGAAATGTTTTCCCGGTGAAAATGAATAATAATAATAAGTTTCAATAAAAATGATAAAATGTAAATTGAATTTTATCATAACGAGTTTGCTTAAATTTCCTTTCTTCTGAGAACGCAGCAATGCGGGACGGGTAAGCTAGTAATAGATACATTTTGGGGCACAACAACGCGTGGCGGGGTCTGCTAGTTCTCTAATATATAGGCTAGATGTTATTTACTATTCTTACGGATTTCAGACATTCCAAATGCATGAAGTGTATATCATTATATGGATATAAATTGCTTAAATTTAACTAGGCTTATTGTAAAAAAAAAATCCAGCAACGAGTTGCTTAATATTTCCGGCAACATTTATAATCGTTTGTGTGACACTATCTGTTACGATATTTTATTATTTAAAAACTTTTTAAATTATTATAAAATGGCAAATAGCTTAATTTCAAGGGTAGGGATGGGTTTTTATGAAAAGAAATTGTAAATGCTAATAACGAGTAAAGTCGTCATTATGTCTGATCCTACTCGAGATACGATATACGATCCTTTTATCTCCCCACCCCTTCAACCTTTAGTCAACAAAATTTAATAGCATCGATTTCCCTAATAAATAAACCACCCTGCGAAATTTCAAAAATTTTCGGCAATTTCGGTTATTAAGCGAGTTTCTGATGTTGACGGGAAGGGGTGACTCCAGGAACATTCTAGACGTCAATTCTGCTGATGGGGAGATGTATGAAATTGTCATCAATAAGGGCCGATTAGCTCAAAAGTATTCGAGAAACCAGTTTGTCACTTTTCAATAGACATTCATTTTACAGAATGATGCAGTTGCATCTCTTGTACCTTTGACCATCTGTAACAAACCATGTTGCGGCCGAAGTTTTCATCTGTAAAACGTGAACGTCGAACGTTGAGCGCCGCTCGACGTTCGACGTTCAATTCAGCCAAAAATATTTGGGTGTTATGTAGAATGACCGGTGAAAATAATTAATTGCCTGTATTTTATTACATTAACCACGAATATTGATTACAGTATTTTGTAAAATAACCAATGATTATATATGGTAACAAATTTATTAGATTAACCGTAACATATTTATTTTTATGTCTTTTTAATCTTTGCTCACTAAAAAGACCATTTTTCCGTGGGTTCGTCCAAGCCCATAATGAAGTGGCCGGATGTTGTGAAACGTGGCCCGACTCAGCCGGAACAGATCACACCCCGAAAATTTCTTGGGACAATTTCGACCGCCCGAATTCGATTTCGGATCCCCCCAGTGGTATTATAAGATATAGAATTAGTTTTAATTTTGCGTGTTTGGATTAAATTTAAATGTCTGTACGATATTTATAAGGTGCAATTTTTCGAAAATATGAATGTTCAAATTGAAAATAGATAAATTGTTTGAATTCTGTGGAAACATTCTGTTCAAAATCTTTAGTAATAATCTGATTTGAGGTTTTTCTACAGTCTATTCTTTAATAAACTCTTGTCTGGAAAGCAATTGATCTTCCTCAACATAAAATTTATCAAAGGAAATGAACATAGAATAATACAATCATTCTTCTTCATTTTAGAACTTAATTATCTGAAAGTAAAAGTAAATAAAATTAATATTTACTTGCATATTAATCTTATTTAACAATTAATAAATAAATGTTGATATAAATTGAATAAACAAAAAAATTATGTTGTGAAACTGTACCATATGAATGATTTTTTTACAAGTGATAAGTCCTCTTACACTATGGGAGAACGAATAACTCGAGATTATCAGTTAAAATGAAAACATATGATGAGGAAGTTGTTGTAGGGCCTATTAAGAAGCAATAAAAAAGCTAACACAATAGTTGGAAGTTTCTTTTACTATATTATGAAGGACTTTGATTAAGTGTGTCCCTGTCATTAAAGGTGATTGGATTAAACTGAGGACTGAAGCAATTCAACATTTGGGCGATCTGCAAAGGGGGTGTCTTCCAAGAGGATTTTCTAAACTAGCCCCTATTTAGGTGTTAGACACCCAAAAGAAACCATAAACGCAGCGTGGTCGGTTAGACACGCAGCGTTTTAGGGTTTCTTTTGGGTGTCAACACCTAAATAGGATTTCTTTTGGGTTCTAATGGTGTTCAGTGGTTTTATCCACTCGGCTAATGGTGAGCAAATGATAAATGGATATTCCTCATAAATATCAAATAACGTCTGTAATTCTTCAACATCCGTCAATTATTAAACTATGATTTTGCATTGCAAACTGTATTAGTGCAACGAAATCATGTGACATTCCAAATTCAAACTTGGCTGCAGACTTCAATAACTACTATGCCATTCTGAAACGTTCTACATTCTTCGTGATAATTTCAATAATATATAAGATACGCGTATATGAATTGTATGTCTACTGAAATTATACTTTGGCAAAGCTCAAGGCAGCGTAGTTTACTTGAAAATACCAAGTTGAGCTGAGGTCTTGATAGACGAGCTGCGAACTAATCTGTGTATTTGGACCAGGGCTAAACTAAGCTCAGCTCAGCTGGGATATGTTGCAGCAAATCCCGAATTTCAAATCAAATGGCATCTTTAATAATAATAATAATATATATATATACTTCCTTTTTTATACTTTATAGTAATAAAATATATAAATCTAATTCTTTTTCTAATATCTTCTCATATAACACTATAAAATTATAAATAAAACTATAAAAGCATCTTAGTATTAGGCAAGGGATTCATACAAAACTTATTCAAATCGAAACAAAAATAATATATAATTTTATAATATAAAAACTAATAAAACTACATAAAAATATATATTTACGTAAGTTTTAAATGATAATTCTTACACACAAAGTATTATGTGAGTTCTCTCTCAAAAGCTGGATTATCATGCGACGATAACTTTGCAGCAGTAGAGCTTTTTTTCCTAGATTTTAAAATAATAAAAACTTATATTAATAAAATTTATTATATAATTTGTAAACTGAACATTACTTTATACTATTACAGTCGACCCCCATAACACTGTTGATTTTTCCGTTTTATATGAATTCCATGTTGTACGAGTCGCTTAGATTTGTGTACAAATACGTGTGCCGGGCTGTGAACGGCTCACGTATTTGTAAAATCTAAGTGCCTCGTACAACATGGAATTCATATAAAACGGAAAAATCAACAGTGTTATAGTGGAGTTGGCTGTATTATTATTATTATTATTATCAGAGATTGCTGTATTGTCCACTACAGAATAGATTTTATTCTTACGTATCTATGACGTAATGAATTTCATGTAAAAAAAATAATTATTACATCACAGATAAAGAAGAGCAAATAACGATAAATTTTATTATAATATTGTACAGTATTATAATTAATATAATAATTTTTTTCAAAATTTAAATAAATTTAAATACGAAACGGCGCGTTGTCATGACAACTAAGAAAACAAACGTCTGCTCTCCAAAAGATAATGCAAAAGTTTAATAATTAATATTTTATAATTAAACCTCGTCTGAATTTATAATATTGAAATGTGTTAAACGGTGAGTATTTTATTTTATACGGATATAAATAGAATTTATATATCAGTAACAGATAATCATAAGAAAACTGTTTTCACTTTAGGCTTACATCTAAGCCTAAAAAATAAGCCTAAAATGAAATTGTAATAGATGGTTGGTTGGTTGGATAGTTGGTGTTTATTGGCACAAAAGAAGTAAGTTTAAAGGCCAAACTGCGTTACATCAAACAGTAAAAACTGTATAAATATAGATTCTATATAATATTAAACACTATAACAATAATAAAAACAAAAAATAACAAATATACAGAACTGTACATATAAACAAAAACAATAGCATATTTTTAATAGTAAAATAAAAGTAAACGAGCGATTATTTATTGTGATACTGTCATAATACTAGCTGCAATTTCTAATCATATTTTTAATTTATTTCATTTAAATTATATGATCTCCACCTCAAATTAGTAGTGGTCTTGCCCCTGTATATAATACTTTTCCAGTTAGCAAGCCCCCTGTATATAATATAATTTTCNGCCCAAGACATAGCCAAAGATTGCAGCGCCACAGCACTGGCGAAAATTTAAATTTGCCGACTGGAATTCTTTCGGATGATTGACGTTTCGGACGATTGACTTTCGGATAATCGACGCTCTACTGTAATTATTTAAAAAATTATTTACTTACGAATTTTTCTTTTCGATAAATATTAAAATATAGTGAATACAAAATAATAGCATTGCACTAACAATAGCCGCAATGCCAGTTATCCGAAATGTTATTCTCCCTCCTAGAGAATCGAATCCTGTTCCTGCCAAAATACTTCCAATGGCAACTCCTATAAATAAATTTATATTAATATAAATCATTTAAATAACTATTTTGTTAATTTTAGCTTTACCTAATCCACTATACGTTCCTCCAAATATTCCTTGCATTGTAGCCTCCGTACCATGAGGAGCATTTATCTTAGCAAAAGAAGATAGCGCAGCCATGAATACTCCGAATGATACTCCTTGAGTTAAGTCAAAAATCAACACTAACCATGGATTATAAATGAAAGAATAACATATAAATCTTATAGAAAAAGCAATAAACGCTAACACGACACATAATTCATGGCCTATTTTTTCAATAATCAATCCAGAAAAGAAGAATAATGGAATTTCTGATAAAACGCACTCAGTCATAACAGATAAGCCAATAATTAGTTTACTAGCACCTAAATCATCCAAGTACCACAACTGATAAGAATCCAGTACTCCAGTAAACATGCCAGCGATGCATGACATTACAAGAAATATTTTAGGGCGAATTTTACGAAAAATCTGAAAAATATCGCTGAAGATGTCTTCTGATGTTGCTACAATTGTATTTTTTGCTTTCGATAATATAGATGTGTCTATGAGCACAAAAACTATCATTAAATAAAATCCCACTGAATAATTTGGTGTGTAATCATAGATGATTCCCATCACAACTGCTGTGATACCTGCACCTAAAGTACCCCATAATCTTTGTTTACCAAAATCTCCAACTTTTTCAGATAAATTTTCGTAGCAAAAAGTGTCAGTTAATGTCCACAACACATTCACCAATACACCACAAATGACTCTAAATATTGCAAAGAGCCAAAAGTGTAAGCTATTGTTTGATTCATTCTTGCATTCTGAATCCAAGCAATGTAGTATACAATAAGCTGTACAGTTTTCGATGCCATTAACGTTTATTTTCAATAAATTCTCTTTTAAATTAGATGTTACTCTGGTCGAATACACGATACCATTACAATCAATACTACAATTCAAATCAGTATTGCAAAGTGACCAAGATCCTGGTTGATTTATGACTTGAGTCACTTGACTGAGCGATGTACAATTTAATTTTATTGGAGTTAAAACATTTTCTGAAGGTTTATCCTGAAGAAAATTTAGAACAAGATAAAATGAACTCAATGTGAGCATTAAAAGTATAATAATAAGCTTGTGCTTCTGTAGTTTATCTGACAAACAGCCAATGGACGGTTTTGCTATAATACTTAAAAACGGTATAATTGTATGAATGATACCCAAAGAAGTAGCTGCAAATCCTAGTTGCTTGGCAATTAAACCCAAGTATGGATCTATAGCTGTAAATCCTGCAAATTAAAATTTTATTAATTAAATTTGCCATGTTATTCAGTCAATTTAAAGAATTGGTCATCTAACTCTTTAGTTTTGCATTGAATGGTGCAGAGAGCTTTGTATTGAAGGATAGGAGAATATTATCACAGAAACAAGAATATTAATTATTAAAATAGTTAATTTTAGGATTTGAAAGATAAAAAAAAGGTCATTTGAAGTGGAAGGCTCCTAGAAGAAACATACATTTAGAATTATATCCTTTGACACTTCCATAATACTTTTAATGGAACTTTTAAAGCAGAATTAATCCTATGGATGTAGGAGCATATTTACTATATTAGTAATGTTTAACGTTAATGATCTACAACTGAAAGTTGGAGTCTAATAAACACTATGAAGTTCCCAGAAAACAAAAAGAAGTATGCTACGTATGATACTAAAAGGCAGAAAGGCACGGGTGATTATATCAAGAATTGGAATACAAAACAATATTTATCATTAAAATTTCTAAGTTTAGGTGGGATAGAAAGATATAATGACGACAGATGGACTAAAATAGTGAAAACGTAAATGTCATAAGATAACAAGCAACTAAATGGAAGTAAATTGTGCGAAGAGTACAGATGCTGAAGACAGAAGAAATTAGAAGATTCTTGAAGAGAATTTCGTTCATTGATAGACAGGTTACGGTGAGAAAGATTTTCCTTGAAAATGTTTATTTACAAAGCTAAATGCAAACGTTAGATTTTAGATGGCCAACTGTAAGAATGCATGCATTCTAAAATATTTAATCATTAAGAGTTATTATTAATACATTACTAATTAACATAAATTGAAATTAAAGTTTAAACCTCATACAAACATTCACGACTTTTTCGTACGTAGTGCCCCTAAATCGTTTTTTTATCTGCCAAATTTTACATTTTCGTACATTTTTAATCGACATGCAAAAATTTCGATGTATCGTGCAATGGAGCTATTTTCCACTTTTGGTTTTGTCAATAGAAAAATCAGTTGCGATTTTAAATCTTTCTGCTCTACGGGCACTAAAAGGGCTTTTTGTAGTCTCATCGTGGAGAGCCAGATGAAATGCCAATGAATTTAAAGGATGATGCTCAGAGTTCAGAACTCCCTTCTGGAGTTTTTCCAAGTAAATCAGGTGGAATAAATTATTTTAAGGTGTACTCTTTCCTTTATGCATTCCTTCTAAAGATTCTGGATGATGAAGCACCCTAATAGTTGACTCTGGATCCACTATTAGGGTGCCACATCATCCACCTGACTCATTAGGAGGAAACAGTTAAGTGGGCTTGGTTAGTATTACGTAATATATAGACGATCCGTAATATTTTTAATGTGTTTTAAATGTTAGCTGTTAATTTAGAAACTTGCAAGAAGTCTTAAAGATGAATTTGTTAAATTTTTGAGTAAAAAAAAAGTCACATAAATATGATAAATGTACTATATTACGATTTATGTATTTAAATAATTTGTAAATTAATTTGAAAATATATCAGCATTGAGTTATCAATATATTAAATCGTGCTTACAAATCATAAGATAACTTTATGGAAATTCAGCCTAATATTATTCTAAACTTAATGGACATTTAAGAAAATAAACTGTAATTAATAACAAATCCATTTAATTATATAAATATATTTAATAAAATACTTACCTGAAGTCATTAAAAAAAAGTGAAGTTTTACGAAAAGGAGTTTCTTGTTTATTTGAAATTTCATATTTAATTATATAAAATGAAATGTTTTAGAACAATTTAAACACTTTACTTTTATATTTTAAAAATAAAATTGCATGAGATTGGTTTATAAATATCCATTTTATATGCGAATATATTCAACATGAAAGCAGCCAAAGGGATATTTATGTGGTTTATGTATAAACTGAAAGGATTTTCCAATTGAATATCTGTAATTGATAGACGTCACATCTCAAGGTTATCCACTTACAGATGTATAATTCAATCAGAGAAACTCTTGTATAAACTTTATTACACAAAAAATCGATTAATCATTGAGATAAAAATGATCTTATTTTCAAAAATTTACTATCTCTTTGTTTAAAAATTTTATAAATTTAATAACAATTTTTTAAAAAATTCTTCTACGAATAAATTTTATTTTGATAGTTTGTATATTATTTATATTATAAATATTATTATTATTAATTCCATTTTTATAACTGATAAAATATATTTTGTCCATCCGGCTGTCTTCTTACATGTACTGTACTATTGATTGTTCGTGGTTCGATGAAAACAATTTAATAAGTATATACAATAGAGGTTTGTTAGTCTGTGCCGGATTAACACTTGATAATCATCATCTTAAAAGTAATCGCTAATCCGGCTTGCTAGTGTGAGATTTTTAAGGGATACTTCGCCTAATTTTTACGAGATTTTAACTTAACTTCTTAACGCCATCGTTAAAATAGATTAAAGAGATTAAATGTCATCCCTCTCGTCAACAACCGCTAATAGTTTATAACACCCCTTTGATAACATCAACATTCGCCCCTACAAACATAGTCAATCTAATGTTGCATGTATCAAAGAGTACAGTTGACGTCCGATTTCATCATCTTCTCATCGTCCCAGGAAAACCTATGTAACTTTAGCAGGGCCGTGCGGTAGATTTTCACAGTATGATGCAAGTCTTTGAAATGCCACCCCTTAAATACTGCTTATGCCGTCCCATTACGGTGCGGCCGCATCTTTGCATCATAGCACGTCACAGCCCTGAATCTTAGTCGTCAACAACACTCAATCACATGACCATTTTCCCAGGCGTTTCCATTTTTTTTTTAAAGAATATTGTGGCAACCTAAAATTTGTTTATCGGTGATCCAACGTGCATTTCTTAATCTATACTAATATTATAAAGAGGTACTGTTTGTAAGTAAGTTTGGATGTAGCGGGTAATCTCCGAAACTACTCATCCGATTTCAAAAATTGTTTACCAATATTTAGAATGGAACTTCAGGGTGGACATAGGCTGTATATTATTCCGTTAAACATTCATATAAATTAAAAGCCTTAACCTAGATTATATATTTTATGTCCAATAGATGGCGCTACAAGTACGACGCCCTAAGTTTGCTTTTCTGTGAAAATGAACTAAAGCAGATCATCTTCTATCTATCTATTGATATATAAATAAAAATGTAATGTTCGTTTGTTCCTACCGATTCCTTTGAAATTTTGACACAACGCTGCATTCGAATACGCACATGTTTTTATATAATATACGTGTCGAAATCCCCCCCCCACAGGAGATGGACAGGGTTAAGGCTTACCGTGAAGAACTTGGCTTCTATTATACTATTTTAGACGCGGTTTTTTGCGTTTTTGATTGCGTTTTAATAGGGTACGTCAAGAGAATGTACACTAAGAAGAAATTTTTCGAAAAATTATTCCCCCACGGGGGAAGTATTATACACTTATCTATATATATAAAAATGAATGTATGTGTGTGTTTGTCCTTCATGCATTACCACACCGTTTATCCGATTGCCGTGAAACTTTGAGAAGTTGTTTAATATACTCCTGTGAAGGTTTCTGGCGTAGTACGATTGCCATGAAACTTTGGAAAGTTTTTTAATTTTTTAATACACTCCCGCGAAATACATTTATCCTACGATAGATGGCGCGCGTTTACACGAGCATTCGCGCACAGTGTGTTCGATCGATTTCAAATTGTGAAGACCATTTCCCCCCTTCAAAAAATATCTTTATATATGCATTTGTGAACTGTTATTTACGATATTCGTAATAATTTTTGTTTAATCACTTTATTTCAACTTTTTTTTTGCTAATTATGTATTCACTGGAACTTCGTTAAAATCTTAACTGTACCCCGAACAACAATCGAAGTTGTAGGAAGAAATTCGCCTATTTTACCGATCTAGGTATCCCCCCTTTTCCAAATTTTAATATCNCCAGTTAGCAAGCCCCCTGTATATAAAATAATTTTCCAGTTAGCATGCCCCCTGTATATAATACTTTTCCAGTTAGCAAGCCCCCTGTATATAATACTTTTCCAGTTAGCAAGCCCCCTGTATATAATACTTTTCCAGTTAGCAAGCCCCTGTATATAATACTTTTCCAGTTAGCAATAGAGTCATGCCAGTTATCTATTCCTTTCAGGGAAAAATTTTTGAATTGAAATAACGTGACTTCCAGCTTCTATTAGACATTTATAAACAGTTAATCAGGGCCTACTGCCCTTAATATTTTTACACTTGTCTCGGCTTTCAACTATCTAACTCAGTTTTCCAGATTAAGGAAGAACAGACAGTTGAAATTTATAAGTCTACAATTGTTTTGAAACAATTCCGATCTCTCTATACACATTAGTGATTTTCAGAAAGTTCAATAGCACATCAAGTCTCTGGATCAGAAATTCTATTACAATATTTATTTATTACAAATGTCATTTATCGTATTCAAGTTAAAATATAAAATAAATGCGAGAATTGAACAAGGTAAAGGAAAACAACTTGATGATGATTTCATTAGAAGATGGTATGAGCCAATTTTCTGACCTGAGAAAGTGTCAGCTTGAGCTTTATCAGAATTGATAGTGACACCTTTTCTTTCACTCTTAGTCGCTTCTGGTAAATTTGCACCTTTGAATACGTCGAAGAATGGCCGATTTTAATCAATCGTCGCCCGTTCTTCCAGTCGTTGGATTTGTATTTGTGTGTTTTATCTGCATTTCTGCTTATACGTTATCCAACGAGTGGTGCGGTGTATCGTACGAATTAATTAAAAACTAACTAAAATTTGATTAAAAATTAAAGTTTTTTACCTCCTTCTGTTTTCAAAAAATTTTAACAACAAATGAAGAAACATCAAAAGACAATATCCTATAGTAGTTGCAATTGCAGCATAATGAAATGTATATCTTCCGCCAAAAATATCCATTAAACATCCTCCTAAAATATTCCCAACTGCCCAGCCTGAAAAAAAAATATATTTTTTTTTTAAATGTCATGCATAGATTAAATGTAGGTATGTGTTAATTTATTATTAAAATTAATTGAAGTAGAAAGATTCCATATTATTTTTTATTATAAGNATTATTATTACATATGATAAATGACATAACCAACGAGAAATTACTAGTTAATACTTAATCTAGAATGAGAGCCTATGGTTTCTTTTTTTTCCTGCGAAGTTGCACGCGAACAAAATGTTATTTTATGCAGCCTATTCGACATTTCTACAAAATTGAAGGTTAACTAGATTTTTTTCCTATTCCTCCTCTAGAAAAAAGAAAAAAAAAATACAATCGTGTTTTAGAGTTCTTTCTATCAGACAGAATAAAGTTATTTAGGTAAGTGAAGTTTGATTTTACAACTGTATCCATTCTTCGGTGTCATTAATTATTACAAGACTAAACACTAGGGATATTCCCGGAATATACCCGTTTTATATTCTCTAAATAGATTGTTTGAATATATAGGAAATTTAGTGGCTGTTATCCATTTTTGTACTCCTTAAACAGACAGTTATATTCTCGGAGGAACGAAATTCGATTTGGTTTACTGTCGACAGTAGCGCCATCTGTCCGGAAGAGGTACAGAGGTAAGTGTAAACACAAGCTCCGGTTCAACCAGCTGCGGAACGTGCGATAATCAATTTTCTCTCATCGTTTGTACAGCTAATCAACTGGCACGGAACCACCAAGAGGACCACTACGTCAGACCGGATAGCCATTCGATTAAATCCTGTGGTGTCACGTGATTTTTTTTAAACTTTCTTGCCCGCTAACTACGCCGTTCTTTCCACTTTTTTCCATCTTAATCCGAACCCGTTAAAAAAAACAAACTATTTAGCAAGCAATTTAATTCCTTTAATTACCAGAAAATAACTTCGCCATTTTTATCATTAAAACAATAAAAATTATTAACAACACTAATATATTTCTGGCCTGCGCATCTCATAATTAAGTCTTAATCAATATTATATGGATTCGAAATCAGTAAAGTAGTTCGATTAAACATATTATAGTTTGACGTATATATATATACATATAGGTTTATAATATGAACTACTTTACTGATTCAATTCGTACTGTTAAGTGTCGAGCATTGTTAAGCAATTATACTCTCCGGGAGTCGCGTATTGTTGCATAATTAAATGCTCTGAACAATACATAATAATATTAGATTATATAACATTAAGCAGAAGGATGAGGCGCTAATCACGGAAACCTTATACATTACGTCATTTAGAGGTTATTTTCGCTTCTTACTTTCATCGTCCTTATTGGTTAAACGGAAAAACGGAGATTAAAACGTCATTTTTCTATATAAAATTTTATTTACCAAATCCAGAAAATGCTGCTCCTAAAATTCCTTTCATCGTTATTTCAGTTCCTAGTGGAGAAATTTTTTTCGCGTATGAACTTAAAGTTAAGTAAAAAAGTCTATAAGTTAATCCTTGCATCACTTCCACTGGTAGAACATACCAAGGATCTTCAAGTGCAGAGTACATAAAATATCGAATACTGTAGCATATTAATGCAAAAAACGTTGTAATAAAATGCCCTAACTTTTCAATTATCTTAAAAGAATAAAAATATGTGGGAATTTCAGAAATACAGTTGATAAATAGAGCCATACCCATTAGTGTTTTCGATGCGCCGAGATCAGCAAGATACCAAAATAAAAAAGTGTTCAAGAGAGTAGAAATGATACCTATATAAAAGGCAAAACA